AACTTAGTTGTCCCTTTGAACCAAGATCTTGGGATCTCCAGTCAACAAGGTAGGGTTACTATTGCAAAAACTCTTACGTAGTAGGCTTTAATCTCATTCCTCTCGATAGGCAACGCATTTGATCTCTAGGCAAACTTTTCGTCAATAGATCCGCAATATTCTCCTTTGATTTCACATAATCTATGGAGATAACGCCATTTGAGATCAGTTGCTTAATGGTGTTGTGTCTACGACGAATATGTCTAGACTTACCATTATACATGCTGCTTTGAGCCCTTCCAATTGCTGATTGACTATCACAATGTATACTTATCGCAGGTACTGGCTTGGGCCAACATGGAACATCTTCTAAGAAATTTCGAAGCCATTCTGCTTCTTCTCCAGCTTTGTCCAAAGCAATAAACTCATATTCCATCGTTGATCGAGCTATGCACGTTTGCTTTGTTGATTTTCATGATACAGTAGCTCTACCAATGGTGAATACATAACCACTAGTGGACTTGGAATCCTTCATATCGGATATTCAATTCGCATCACAATATCCTTCTAGTACCGCAGGATATTTTGTGAAGTGTAATCCATATGTTAAGGTATACTTCAAGTATCTTAAAACCCTCGTCAAAGCCTTCCAATGATCACGGTTTGGATTACTTGTAAATCTACTAAATTTATTCACCGCACTAGCAATATCCGGTGGAGTGCAATTTGTAAAATACATAAGACTGCCAATTATTTGTGAATACTTTAGTTGTGATATGCTTTCTCCCGTATTCTTGACTAAGTGCATACTTGGATCAAGAGGAGTTCTCGCGGGACTTCCCTAACACGTCAAACTTCTTAAGTACTTTTTCTATGTAGTGAGATTGTGAAAGTACAATTTCATCCTGCGTTCTAGAGATTTTAATTCCTAAGATTACATATGCCACACCCATATCTTTCATATCGAAATGCTTTGTTAGCATCTTTTTGGTGTTAAGCAATATTTCGTGACTATTGCTCATTATTAACATGTCGTCCACATATAGACAAAACAACTACATAGGCATATGGTGTATGTTTAATATATACACATTTGTCACATTCGTTGATCTTGAATCCATTTGACAACATTGTTTTGTCAAACTTTTGGTGTCATTGTTTAGGAACATGTTTTAATCTATACAAGGACTTAATAAGTTTACACACTTTGTGTTTTTGGTTAGGAGAAACGAACCCTTCAGGTTGCTCCATGTAAATCTCCTCTTCTAACTCACCGTTTAAGAATGCTGTTTTTACATCCATTTGATGAATCTCAAGATTGTGTATTGCCACAATTGCAATTAACAATCTTATCGACGTGATTCTAATCACGGGTGAGTAGGTATCAAAGAAATCAAGTCCTTCCTTTTGCCTATATCTTTTAGCAACCAATCTACCCTTATATTTATCAATGGATCTGTCAGTTTTCAATTTCTTTTTGAATATCCATTTGCATTCTAAAGGCTTGTTACCGGGAGGTAAATCAACCAACTCCCATGTATGGTTTTGAATTATAGAATCTATCTCATTATTAATAGCTTCTTTCCAATGCGGTGCTTCCGGTGTAGACATTGCTTCATCGAAAGTTTTTGGATCATCCTCTACCATATAGGTTAGAAAATTTGGGCCAAATGTCTTGGAAGTCCTAGCCCTTTTACTACGCTTTGGTTCTTCCTCATTTGAAGTTCCATTATTAGATTCATATGTTCTCTTATTAGAACTCGTATTTTTCTTATTTTTGCAAGGAAAAATATTTTTAAAGAATGTCGCATTCCTTGATTCGATTATGGTCCCTTCATGTACGTCTTGTATTTCAAATTTGTGTACAAGAAATCGATATGCACTACTATTATTGGCGTATCCAATAAATATGCAATTTATCGTTTTAGGACCGATTTTCACTTGTTTAGGCTTAGGTACCTCAACCTTAGCCAAACACCCCCACCCTTTCAAGTATTGGTAGGATGGAGGATAGCCTTTCCATAGTTCATATGGTATCTCTTCCATTTTCTTAAGAGGTATTTTATTAAGAAGACTATTTGCCGTTAAAATAGCCTCCCCCCACATGTTCTGTGGTAAACCTGAACTTATTAACATGACATTCATCATTTCTTTAAGTGTTCGGTTTTTGCGTTCTGCAACACCATTTGATTGAAGAGAGTAATGTGTCGTTGTTTGATGAACAATTCCATGTCCAGAACAAAAGTCTTCAAACGGTGCCTCATATTCACCTCCTCTATCACTACGAATATTTTTTATTCGTTTTTCAAGTTGTGTTTCAACTTCAACCTTATAGGTTTTGAATGCATCTAAGACTTCGTCTTTACTTCTCAAAAGAAAGACATATCAAAACTTTGTAGAATCATCAATAAATGTCACAAAGTATTTCTTACCACCTCGAGTTTGTACAAATTTTAGATCGCATATATCGCTATGGATCAATTCAAGAGGGGTTGTGTTCCTTTGTATTGAATGGAACGGTGTTTTAGCCAATTTTGCTTCAACACATATTTTACATTTATGATTAGGATTGATTTTATGCACCGGAATTAAATTCTGATTCATTAGTTTGCGCAACGATTTGTAATTTACATGTCCTAATCGACTATGCCGCAAACATGAAGGCTCAAACAAGTAAACGAAATTTATAGTTTTATTTATAACGACTTGCTTTGGTACAATTGTAAGAACGTTCAACTTGAACATTCCATCCCACATCTATCTTTTCCCTACATACATCTCATTTTTAGACAACACAAATTTATCAGATACAAATACAAGTTTAAAACCATTCTTATTAAATAGAGACCCGGACACTAAATTCTTTCTTATATTCGGCACATGTAGGACATTGTTGAGGACGAGTTCTTTCCCGGGTGTCATCTTCAAAGTGACTTTGCGTTGTCCTTCAACTTTGGAACTTGCAGAATTTCCCATGTATAGTTGTTCCCCATTCAATTCTTGATAGTTGGAGAACATCCCCTTGTCCGCCCACACATGACGAGTGGCGCCGGTGTCAATTCACCATTCTATAGTATTTCCAATCATGTTGCATTCGAACACTACTACAGATAAACTCATTTCTTGCAGTCCATCGGATAGAGTGTTATTTGCAACCATGTGGGCATGAGCATTCTTCTTTGGCTTTCAACATTCACTTGAACAATATCCAGCCTTGCCACAGTTGTAACAATTCCCTTTGAACTTCTTAGCCTTCTTGGAATTGTCTCTTCGCGGTGCATAATTAGGAGCCTTTCGTTTCTTGTTTGTTACCTTTGGTTCCATTTCAACAAAATTTGCACCATCTTGATCAACCGGCCTTCGTTCGGTTTTCCGATTGTCCTCTTCAATCTTCAAGCGTATAATCAATTCTTCCAAGTTCATTTCCTTGCGTTTGTGCTTGAGGTAATTTTTGAAATCTCTCCACATAGGAGGGAGTTTTTCAATAATGACAACCACTTGGAATGATTCACTCAATTCCATTTTCTCGGCGTGGATGTCGTGTAACAAGACTTGAATATCTTGCACTTGACTAATTACAGTTTTGGAATCCACCATCTTGTAGTCCAAAAATTTGCCAACAATGAACTTCTTTGTTCCGGCATCCTCGATCTTGTACTTTGTCTCCAAAGAATCCCATAATTCCTTGGCTGATTCCTTTGAAGTATACACCCCATATAGTGTATTATCCAATGCGTTTATGATATAGTTCTTGCATAGGAAGTCCGAGTGTTTCCATGCATCTAAAGCAATAATCGATTCACGATTATTTTTCCTTTCTTGTATAGCTGGTGCAGTTTCCTTTAGAAATTTAGCCAAATTAAGAGTGGTGAGATAAAACAACATCTTTTGTTACCATCTCTTGAAGTCTACTCCTGCAAATTTTTTCGACTTTTCCCCATGTGGGATAGTAGTATTATGCAACGGTACGGCCACGGGTGGTACCACATTATTGGAACCATTTTGACTTGACGAAATCCCGATGGTAGTCATTTTTGTTACACAAACAGATGTTCAACAAAATGATGATAATATTGGTGGAGGAATAGTACACAAAGTACTATTCAAACAAAGTAATGTTTGTCCACAACTAACCACAAAGACACACAATTTTGTCTTAAGATTATTGGAGACAACTTATAAAAAGGGTTATGTAAGGATTGATTTTTGATATATTTGTTTGACCAGTTTTAACCCGCAAGAGCGTGATCAAAACACAATTTATATGAATGAAAATTTGGACAGAGTTTCGGTATAAAGATTACGCAAAATAAGGATTAAGAAGGAGTAGAAATAGAGAATAATCCAAGGCGAGACGTTATCTCTTTCCTTAAGACAAATTGCCCCGCTACGGTGCTCACGGTGAATGATACTTGTCTCCCAAGATACAATAGATTCACAACTTGTGGTAGCAAGACTTCAAACCACAAGAAACTGATGAACTTTTGATAGAATTTTCCCTCTACAAAGGAGATGTATGAAATGCTATAGAATTAGAAAGAAGAGAATTGCAAGAGAAGAATGAATGCCCAATGCAATTGGTGTACCCAAAATCATGTCCTTAGGGTTCTATTTATAGATATAGAAAGGGTGGAAATGAAGTAGTGTGGGCCAAAACATGAATCCTTTCAAAAAAGTTGCAACACTTTGCCAAAACTTGCACCTTTCGAAAAGTTGCAACACTTCATTTCTTCCAACTTTGGTCCGCAATTTCTCATTCATCTGGAATTGGTTTCGAGATTCCAAATATACCATGACGATCTACTCTACGAGTAAAATAAGTTGGTCTATTTACTTTTATAATTTGACCATCGGATCAAGTCCGAATATTTGGTCGAAGTTGACACGTAATCACACCTTTTCATTTTCCATTTTTACACACTTTTTCATTTTCTAATTTTTATACATCTTTTCATTTAATATTTGAACCAATTCCTACATATAGCGAGATCCATTTTGATTATGATAATTTTCATATATTTTTTTAAACTTTTTTTATTTACAAGCAGGAAACACAAGAATTTACACCTAATAATTCATATCAGTGAAGTTGTGAGATTCCAGCAAAATGTGCACCTCACACTTTGAAGCCTCCAGTTTTGCCAAATCCTGTATTCAGTGCTGAAGGTAAGCACGAGGAACTTGTGTTCTATGATTCTATCGTTTGATTATTTTATATGTATGTTTAAAAAAATAAAAATAAAATAAAAAAAAAACACTGAAACTTTTTATTATTAGGTGATGCAATGCATTACTGTAATCCATATATGCCGCCAGAAAGAAGATGTCCCGGGCTTGTATTTGAATCAGTTAACGGTAATTGAATTCACTGCATATTTGTAAATGATTAACTTCTAATCCTTAATTGTTAGCGGATTCCTCCAAAAAAAAAATTCTGCTTCTGATGTTAAATGTGGAGTGAATCCCTTCTGTTATCTACACTTGAAAAATGCAAATCTTTGTCCCATCTCAACCAAATCCACGCTCTCCTAACAATCTCAGGCCTCGCAAATGTCTTCCATTACAATGCTATCATAAGGGCTTTCTCCAGTACTAAAAACCCATATAAATCAGTTTCCACTTTTATCTCAATGTTGCGAAATGATGTCGTCCCCAATCATCTAACCTACCCTTTTCTTGCTAAGGCCTCGGCACGGATTCTGAACCTGAAACTTGCTGGTTCTGTTCATGGACTTGTTTTTAGAACTGGGTATGCGTCTGATATGTTTGTTTCGAATTCTTTGGTCCATATGTATGGCTCGTGTCGTGATATCGTTAGCGCGCGGAAAGTGTTCGACGAAATGCCTATGAAGAATTCAGTTTCGTGGAACTCCGTGTTGGATGCTTATGCAAAGTGTGGGGATGTGAATTTGATGAGAAAAGTGTTTGACCTAATGCCTCGGAGGGATGTCATATCGTGGAGCTCATTGATTGATGGCTATGTTAAGGACGGAAATTACGTGGAGGCCTTGGCTGTTTTCGCGAAAATGGGGGTGGATGGAGTCAAGGCAAATGACGTTACTATGGTTAGTGTTTTGTGTGCTTGTTCTCACTTGGGAACGCTTGAGCAAGGGAGGATGATGCACAACTATATTATTGAAAATGGATTGCATTTGACCCTTACGTTGAGGACGTCGCTTGTGGACATGTATGCTAAATGTGGTGCCATTGATGAGGCATTGGCTGTATTTCGTGCCGTTTCAGTTAGAAAAACAGATGTTTTGATATGGAATGCTATGATTGGTGGGCTCGCTACACATGGGTTTACACAGGAGGCGCTGGAGATGAACGTAGAAATGCAGGATTTGGGGATCAGACCGGATGAGATAACTTACTTGTGTCTACTTAGTGCTTGTGCACATAGAGGTCTAGTGAAAGAGGCATGGAAATATTTCAAGTCTATTTCTCAGAATAGCATGGAGCCAAAAACCGAACACTATGCTTGCATCGTAGATGTTCTGGCGCGGGCAGGTCAATTGAAAGAAGCACACGAGTTTATACAAGATATGATGCTGAAACCAACTGCTTCCATGTTAGGAGCATTGCTTAGTGGTTGTATAAATCATAGAAAGTTGGATATTGCAGAGGCAGTGGGGAAAATGCTAATCGAATTGGAGCCTGATCATGATGGTAGATATATTGGTCTTTCAAATGTTTATGCCGTTAAAAATTGCTGGGACGAATCAAGAACTATGAGAGAGGCCATGGAAACACGGGGAGTGAGGAAGGTTGCTGGATATAGCTATGTGGAAATTCTTGGAACGCTTCACAGATTCATAGCTCACGATCAGGCACATCCTCAATCAGAACAAATCGACTTGATGTTAGATTTAATCGTAAAACAGATGAAAATGAAATCAGATTGTGAAAGTCGACGACAGGTATTTTTCGATATGGACAATATGTAAATTGCTAGCTCTTCAAGTTGATTGAGATATTATACATTTGAAACATAGTTTTCTGTATGCCTGGACAAAAAAACCGAAAAACCGACCAAACCAATCAAATCGAACCAACTTGGGTAGGTTCGGATTGGTTCGATAGAGGTAATTGGTTTGGTTTGATTTTCTTTTAAACAAAACTATGGTGTGTCAGTACAGTTCAGTTATGATTGAAGTCTCAAATTGTTGGTTAACCGAACCAACCCAACTCACTTAAGTGTTCACTTTTTTTTTTTAATTTAAAAAAATAAAAATCAAAAGATAAACTCTAATCTCATAACAATATCTCGATTTCCTCCAATCTATGATACCGGTAAGTAATAGTACTGAAAATTTTCTTTCATAAGTTTATTATGCCCTTGTTTGGCCCTCATTTTCAAATTTTAATGTTTGAAATAGTATATTTTTTAAGAATGTGAGTTGAAAAAGAATGAAAAGTTTTTGATTTACGTGTAATATTATTTTATAGAAAATTGTGTGGTTGAAAATAAAAGAAGTAAAAGAAATGAAAGGGAATGGGGGCCAAACAGGGGGCTATGTTATACATAGCATAACTACATAATATATAAAAAAAGCAATGAAATTTTTAAGTTTTTCGTTGATTTTTTTCTATTAACCTAATTTTATTTGTTAGCCGATAGACAATAGTTCTTCTAATATAAAATTATTTGATTATTTTAATTCTTGTAATTTAAGTGCGCCTAAAACTCGGACAATTTCTTTTAAAAAAATTAATTTAGGCTAGAAGTCCAAACCGATTTGGTTTGATTCGATTTAAGAGCTAGAGTGGATTGAATTGGGTTGAAATTTGCTCAAATCGATTAATTTGGTTTTGGTTTCAGGTTGGAGTCAAAATCGACCCAAACCAAATCGCGCTCAGGCCTAAACTTTTCCGTATGGTTTTGACTTTCGAGCACTTGCTTAAAGCAGAAAGGTACGCGTAGAAGCGGACATTTCAGTCTTAAATACATAAACTGTTGATAGCTATGGACATAAAGCAATCCCATCTTTTATTCCCAGAAATACCTAGATTAGTAACCGCAAAACTAAGCTGATCTTTCATTACCATTAACAATTGGAATTTTTGAATCTACACTGTTCTCATGGTTAATTCTGGGCTCGAGGTAGCCAACAGGCTTTCAACGACGGTACCTGTTTGCGGTGCATACATGTATCTAGCAATAAATTTGCAGTAAACAACAAGGATAATAGCGCAGAATTAACCACTAAAACATAACCAGCAGCACTTCCAGGCAACCGAGTACGAATAATACAGGTGTGAAGTAACAAGAAAATACAACTCCTTTTTTGGACATGTAAGTCACACGATGAAGCCAACTAGCAGTATAAACTACTCCAGTATTGGTACTGAATTCTTGACTAAATTATCAAAATACCACGAAGTTGTAGTCAGGTCAAGTTGTCATCAGCATCTGCACTGATCCTTGACCGATATTGGCGACCTGGTTTCTGCAAGGAGCTGCTACCTTTATCAATATATGGCTCATCTTCTTCCATTTCACTGACTTCACTTTCTTGGGCATCCTCTTCTGCAACGCCAATGAGCAATCCCTTTTTCTTAGCATTATCTCCCAGGGACTCGTTCCTTCTCTTCACCATTAAGTCATCTTCTGGCTTCTTTTTGGGAGTGAAAACTATTGATTTCAGGATGTCAGCACAAGTGTCATCCTGCAATGAGCTCTCAGTGTTTCCCTTCCTCAACTGATGGAAAAAGTCCATATACGCCTTTCGATTGGATTGCTCATCCATATCTTCCGATGAGTCAAAAGTATATCGTGTGTACTTTGAAGGGTTCCTCAGATAATCTGGAACAGCAGATGAATATTGCGAAAGATCAGATGCATCCTGTGGTGCTGCAACATTATCCCCTGAATATGGCTCCGACACTAAATCACCTTGTTCGTCAAGATTCTGAGTACTGCATTCATGGTTCAACTGGAAGCGGACACGCTTCTCGGGCTTTTGGTCCATGTGACTTCCTCTTTTCTTCAAAATAGATTTTGGATTATAACCATCTAGTTCTGCATGGTTAAGATTTTCAGTCTCCACATCCAAGGCCACAGAGTTATCAGCAACTGGTAAAGAATCGTTATTCCCAGCTGCCTCTGCATCTTCTTTCAGCCTAAGTTTAGCAGCCATGTGATTTGCACGAGGATCTCTAACAGCATCCTGGAATGTGTCCGGAAGCTCACCATAAGTATTAAGTCTCTCAAATCCATATTCAGCAACTTTCACATCCCTCATATATAGGCGGTCACCAACCTCTTCCCTACAGACTGCCACTTTGTCATATTCATCTTCCTCTTCCTGCATAAACCAACCCAAGAATGGGAAATCAACTTCTACTTCAAAAAAGAGAAGGAAATATACACGTTATTATAACAAATTATGTGCAGCACAGATGTCCAATGCATAAAAATAATTTGTGCAATTCATGTTTGCAGCCCCCAAGATATGGTTGTTCCTTGCCACCAGACACATTTGATCCTCCTAGTGTCGACCAATCACCAAACTTTGGGTTTCTTAAAGAAGAGTGCAGCTCTCATTAAACGAACATGTCTAGAACTGAGTAAATTTATGCTGCTCAAATGTCTTGTCAGGTGCTATTTACAACCAAAATAAGTCAGCATAAAGGCCCAGAAAAGAATAATAAACATATAACCATCTTCATGGTTGTATAATGCATCCAGTATATCAAAATTTTAATAAAAACTTAACAGTAAAACAAAATATCTATATGCTCCTCCTCACTCACTGGATTAGGCTGCATTATCAAATCTGACCTCATTGAGGACACCACAACTAGTTTGGAAAGTCACGGTAAAAGAAAAGACCTGTTTAGTTACCGAACTTAAATGCTGGTTCCCATTTGGTCACTTATCTTTTTCTTTCCAATTTTGTCATCTGACTTCATAATATGTTTACCGTTGGCAGGCTGTCTGCGCCTGCTATCCAAACTAATGGAAATGCTGAGTTCGCAAACTGAAGATTGTGTGTACTTAACATATATGGTAGATGACTACTCTAGAAAATTGTGTGAATTCTTATTCAAATATAAAATTGAATACTAAAACGTATGGAATAGTGTAACACTGAGTTCAATAAGTTATGCAAATAAAATGGTATCGTTAGACATACAAGAGTAACACACCCCTCAAAAAAATGGCATTGTCGAGAGGATGAACACGACTGCGTTAGACGAAGAGGTATGCTCATTTCTTCTGGGATTTCAAAAGCTTTCTGGGGAGGCAATGTTTACTGCTATTTATTTAAATAATACATTACTTTGCGGTGCCATTAGCTTCCTCATACAAGAAGAAAAACGGAGAAGAAAGTCTCCTACCTTAACTCACCTATGACCATTTAGTAGCGCTTGATATGCACATACTATGAAGCAAACTAGACCCTAGACCCCTTAGGTGCAACTTCTAAGATTATTCAAATCGGACTGCAAGATGATAACACGGGTGGAACCAGGATTCAAAGGTGGGGTAGCATTATAATTTTTATAAAAGAAAATTCGACAACACGTAAGAAGAAATTTTATTTATTTGAAAGCTAAAACACACTTAGTTCAAATGTGATTTATCCTTCGAAACGGATATAATTAACGCTATATTTTAAAAAGATTAAAAAGAAAAAGACAAAGAGAATTATAAAGAACAAGTATTAACCAATAACATTACTCTAACATCAATAACATTGAGAGCATTGAGTTTAATTAACAAAGAACAAGCATTAATCTTTTTCACAGAGAAATCGAAAAAAAAATAAAAAAAAATAAATAAATACAAGCTCCTTAAGTTGCTGCTGTCCAGAAAATAGCAGCTTAAACAAATTAACAATACTAGTTTAGTCCCACCCACAAGCCTATGAAAACAACGGAATTTTTCCCCCATATAAGAAATTGATATAACAAATAATGATAACAAATGCATCAGCTTAATTACTGAACTGCAAAAAGTGTTTCAGTTACAACAAACCCTTATTTATCTGTCCAAATTTTAACAAATTTGCTTACAGTGACATGTATGAAAACTGTCTATTAAAATTCGGCCGGACTTTTTAAAGTTTAAAGATGATGACGAAAGAATTTAAAAGTGAATACCTCATAATCAAGGGTGCAATCGCGGCCAATTAGGGATTGAACATCCCAGACTTCATCATCACCAGTGTCGGTCCCATGACGTTTGATCTCTCCATTAATTTCATCCTCTCCTTCAAAGTCGCTCAGCTCTTGAAGATCCGATTCTAGATGGGCCCCGACATCTGTTTCGGGGTTGTTCGGAGGGTAGTCGGTGGGTCCAGATTCTTCAACTTCATCTTCATCATCATCTTCCTCTTCCTCTTTATTCCGATTCCATTCCTGTCTTTTGATTTCGTCGTCTGTGAGGCGCCACAGTGAAGGGTTAACGCTCAAAGACGGCGCCGTATTGCCCAGCGACCCAAATGCCTTGTCTACTCGAACTTTGAAGCTATCTTCCATTGATGTCTCGTCCTGCTCTGTACAATTCGTGCATCATTTATATAAGTGTGTTACTCGATAAACGAGGGAAAATAGCTGCGAGGATCTCCAACTTTTGTAAAAGAGCATTTAAGTCATCTACCTTTCATTTTAGTTGCTTTTCTACCATAAGGTTTTCATTCTGTCTAAATTAATGCCACTAATTTTTCATTGACCTATTGAAATTCAAAATTTCAAATTTCACAAATCGTATTCTTCCAAAAAGTGATTGATACCAAGACAAGTTATCACTAATAATTCTATTGAGATCAAAAAACACATCTTTTAACAATTAATCTAAAGTCATTAGCATAACTCTCGTTTTACTATTTTGCATTACAGCCCATGTTTGGATTTTATTATTTTCAAAGTTCATTTTCAATCATATATTCTTTCATAAAATAATATTATACGTGAACTTAAATTTTTTCTTTATCTTTTAAATATACATTCTTTAAAAAAATTAAGTATTTTAAAATACATATTCTACTAAAATCACATCAAAATGGAGCCCAAATAGGGGCATCGTATATAACATTGTAATTACGTGGAAACCAATTACTTATGGAGTGTTAATTAAGCAACCTCCTTTTTCTTATGTGCCTAAAGACCTTTCCTATTACTTAGGGTGCTATACATCCTTGAAAATGAACTCTTTCTCAATGTTTCGAAGAGTGAGGATCAAAATGATGCATTGTTAAACGATTGAGGACCTCTTCTGTCATTTTCCCGGTTTTTACTAACGAAATTTGCTAAACCCGAACAGAGTCAGCCCCCTCCGTTTGTACTGTAGAGTAGCTACTCAAGAACCCTAAGCAAAGATGATGCGGGGGAGCATCCTTACTCGCGATCTGTGGAGCGGAATCAATGGCATCATAAAACAATCAATCCCATTTGGGGGTAGTAATTGTAGAAAAAATGGGAGATGGTACAGCCTTATACCGATGGTGATTGAGCACTCTTCCCGGGGGGAGCGTGCCTACGATATATTCTCTCGTCTGCTCAAGGAGAGGATCATTTGCATCAATGGCCCTATATCCGACGACACTGCCCACGTCGTCGTCGCCCAGCTTCTCTTCCTCGAGTCCGAGAATCCATCTAAACCCATTCACATGTACCTCAACTCCCCTGGTGGCGCCGTGACTGCTGGTATCCTCCTTTTCATTTCAGAATCATGTTTCAGTTTTTTGACACAATTGTCACTGCCTGTAACAATCACTTATGGTAGAATTCACTAAGGATGGTGCTAGAAGTGCTTATAAACCCACTAGCAGGTCTTTCATTGTGAATAACAACCACTTTCGTAGAATCACCCTTCAACCGGGCTGGTAAGGAGAGGGTGCACTAGATGCTTATAGACCTCAAAGGAATGCCTTTTTACAAGCTATGTAGGATACAATCTCCCATTTATTAGATTGTTAGTTGTTACACTACTATTCCTGTGAATATCCATTTGAAGTTTTCAAAAGATACTATGATTATAAATTTAGGTTCTGCATTTCACCTAGTCAGGCGGAATTCTTATGTCCTAAGGTGATTAAGATTAAAAATGGACTGATTTCCACTTTTCAGTTGTAGTGAACATCCAGAAATATAGCAATGAAACTAATATGTAAATTATACATTTTCCTTACTTTTTTCTGTTTATTCATTTTCTCAATATGCCGGAGCCTCTAAGAGGCATCAGAAAATGCAAATGCTGCTTAATGTTTTTTCAAGCATTTCCAAGTTTCCTCGATCCTAGTTGATGCTGTCATTGATGGTATCCTCCTCTCATTTCTTTTCAATTCATTTCGGACTTATATTTACTTTTTTCGAATATCATAACACGACTGTCACTACAATAATACTTTTCTCAAACACTATGATAGTTGATGTTGAGGGTCTGAAGTATTTGGCACAGTCAAGGAGAATTTTCTGTCCTATGGCGAAATCAAGATTAACATTGGAATGATTTCCAGCTGCAGTTGAACATTAATTATACATTTTTCCCTTGTGTATATTAATTTTCTGAATTTTTTTGGACCTCAGGCATCAGAAAATGCAAATGTCATGCCAACTTAGGCCATGTTTGAGCCACATTTTTTCAAAAAAATACATTCTTAAACAGCGATTTAACATCATTTCAACCACACATCTTCAATAAAATAATATTACATGCAAATCCAAAATTTTCTTTATTTTTTAACCACACATTTTCCATCAATACACTATTCAAAAATGCATTATAAGGAAAATAATGTGGCTAAAACAAGGGCTTAATGTTTCTTTTTCTCACTCCCACGTTTCATCTATGACTTTGAGAAAGGATTCAATTTCAACCCAAATTGAGGATTATTTAGTTTACTTATATCATATATTTTACTTGATTGCCCATATTTACAAACTGAATCTGGAATATGATTATCATTTTTATCTTTTTTATATGTTATTCATGCAGGTCTTGCTATCTACGATACTATGCAGTACATCCGATCTCCGATCAACACGACGTGCCTGGGCCAAGCTGCATCAATGGCTTCTCTTCTCTTGGCTGCTGGTGCAAAGGGTGAGCGAAGATCCCTCCCAAATGCTACCATTATGATTCATCAGCCTTCTGGTGGACACAGTGGGCAGGCCGAGGACATGAAAATTCACACCAAGCAGATTGTTCGGGTTTGGGATTCATTGAATGCGCTATATGCAAAGCATACAGGACAACCTATTGAAGTAATTAGGAAGAATATGGATCGTGATTATTTCATGACACCAGAAGAGTCAAAGGAGTTTGGTATTTTAGACGAGGTCATAGATCAGAGACCAACGGCCCTTGTGACCGATGCTGTTGCAAATGAGGACAAAGATAAAGGTTCAAACTAGAGATTGCAGGTAACATGTATTCATATTGTGCATTTTCTCTCCTTTTATGTTAAGGGATAATGCTTGTGTTCTCAAAAATTAAACTACTTGTATGTATTTAATGACATATCAAGCTCTCACATTACATATGCATAAATATGCACATTTCTTTCTACACAAACACCATCCATTTTGTTGCCACGATATTTGTATATAAGTCATACTTGCTGTTTTGTTTATATTATTGTTTAACTTTCTCTTCTGATTTTTTGATGGAAGCCTTTGGTCCTTGTTTTTCCTTTTCGAAGGTTTAGTTTGTAGCTTTGTGCATAAGATTTTGGTAATTGTAGTTGGCATATTTTTAATCCTCAAGTTGAGTATGAAATGCACGTTTATGCTAATGAAGGTGATCTTTAGATGATGGTCTGGTTTATATATTGATTTAATCCAATCGGCAGAAAAGATTTTTAACTATGACACTTGAATGAATACATGTATGTTTGTTTCTTTCGACAGTAGCTAATAACAGAAGAATTTTATAGAAAATAATGGCAATTCTAGTTTAAATGATTTTTATTATTCACAAGGACAAAAAGCTATTCGTAGGTTAACTATTAATTTATAATTTATAGATAAAAATTGATAAGAGTATTGAGGGAACTGATTTGACACAAATATAATTGTGCCAGCCAAAAAGGAAGGGGGAGAGGACACCAACTGAGAAAAGAAATGGAAAACGAGAAGCAACATTCGAAGTATGAGACTTTTTAAAAATATAAACTCACTCTAAACCTCAAGAATGACAAAAATTGAACGGTGCATCATAAATAGAAGCATGGCTTGAAATCAGTATAATAGAACTGAGTACTGGCATAACGAAAGCTGATGTGCTATTAATATTTTTTTTCAGTGTACATGTTTCACGATACTCTGGAGTGGATTGTTAAATGGGGCTTTTCCTCCTGCATAACGAAAGCTGATGTGCTATCGATATTTTTGTTCACTTGTTTGTTTATTTTCATGCTGTGGAATTTGACTGTGTTTTATGTTACTGACCATGTTGTTTTGGTTCTGGTACAGTTCTCTTACTTCCATGGTGCATTTCCCGTCTTAGGATCAAGGGAATTCTTATTGGTCGACCTACCTTAAGACCTGTTATGAGCACACATCGAGAAGTTCTCATTCTTCCATCTCCTTCGAGCATATTTTGTGCATTTTCCTTTTCCGCCACCTCCATCCGTTGTATCTTTAGTTTTTGATAATCTCTGCACATTAGCATAGGTCCACACATTCTCGCATGTTTTTGACTCTATGATGGGCATTGCAGGTACCGGTTTATCATTACATACCAAATCAAAAGTAGGATCGTATGAATTTGCTAATACGTTTTACAGGATACTTGGATTCCTTGTCTTCAAATTGTGAATTAGCACGGGAATTGTCCTAAACCTGTAAACCTTGTACTGCACCTCTCCTGTTTCTTTTTTTTTTTCCCCCTCCTTGGCACTGCGTTCCTCAACCCAATGTTTTGGTGTGATAGTAGTCCTGGTCAGATTCTGTCTATTTGACTTTTATAAGTCAACTGGACGGAAAATAATGGAAAGGACCGTGTCTTACACGTTGTCTTCAAATTGTGAATTAGCACGGGAATTGTCCTAAACCTGTAAACCTTGTACTGCACCTCTCCTGTTTCTTTTTTTTTTTTTTTTTCCCCTCCTTGGCACTGCGTTCCTCAACCCAATGTTTTGGTGTGATAGTAGTCCTGGTCAGATTCTGTCTATTTGACTTTTATAAGTCAACTGGACCGGAAAATAATGGAAAGGACCGTGTCTTACACCTTATTACACTAGTCATCATGTTCAATGTCTTAAAACTTTTCACGACCAACGTTTATGTACAGAACAAATTTTAATTTTAACTCATTGAGTAACAAATCGATCTGTTTTGTTGTAAATTGTGAAAAATTGATTCAATTTGGCGGCAGCAGCTATTCTGACTCTCAACTTAACGTCTAAAAAAATGCCACAGGGAACCAACTCCATTAGTTTTCAGAGACAAATCTCTAATGAGGTAAATATCGAAAGTCCAGCGCTACTTTCGGTCGATTAAATTTAGACCTTTAGTAAATTTGTTGATCCATATACCAAGCAAGATCACAATCGTTGTCAACCCCTTTACTTCATTTTCTAATACGCATAGAGGCTCATTAAACTCAAAAAATAAATTCATTCTTATCCCACGGATTTTCATTAATAGTGCACAACATCGCAGAAATTCAAATAATAAAAGAATACATGATACAAGAATGTTGTTTCAAAAGGTTTATCTTACTGGTACAAAAGCTTTCAGGGCGTCATCAACGTAGCACTAAAAATTTACAGCTTCTCGTAAATAACATTCCAAGCATAAATTAGCTTTGGTAGCTACTAAGAATTAATACTTCTTAGGTACTATCCAGTACAACCTCAAATATAATGGAGCCTTGAATGTTGAGAAAAACCATACCCCAATTGATCCCTAATGGCCCCCAAACAAAAGGAAAAAAAAAAAACACACACACACACACACACACACACACACAACAAGAGCGAACGGCAGAATCCCTTGACCTATTGAGGTTTTGAATGCTTATGAAAACTCCACAATGTAGGCTTGCTTCATACTAAGACAAACTTTCTGTCGGTGTCTTTTATTTGCGGTGCCGCCTCTTTGGTTCAGCTCTCTGCCTCTTTTCATCATCCCACTCTCTGTCGTACATTCTAAAACTCTCGTCAAGAAATTCATAATTTTAACAAATTATTACCATTATTGACAACTATAAGCAATCAATGAATATAGCAACTAAATCATTTGAAACCTGAGCGACAAAATAAGTAACAACTACTACTCAGTTTTGGTAAAGCATAGTGCTATTCATCATCTGTTGAGATCATCAAAAGTTTTAAGTGGCAGTGAATTTCTTAATTCATCGTCCAGTGCATTAAAAAGCATCCCATCTCCATTTTACAATGAATTAGGGGATCCATTGGCATTTAGACCGGTGATGATCTTTACTAATGATGAATAATGACAGCAAAATATGGAGGTATGCAAGGACAGAAAAAAAAAATGGTGATGCAAGAAGGCCAAGTGTCCAAGATGAAATATTAACAAGGAGATATTACTAACATATTTAATGTTTTTAAGGATACGGATCAGCATCGCGACGGGTTGTCTTAGTGGCTGCTTCTTTGGCGTGAATCCTGAGAGCTGGCTCCTCCATATAACCTGGACGTTGGACTATAACCCCCTTACGATCTCCCCTCTCTCTTCCATCATATGACAAAGGAGAAGATTGCGGTGCTGCTGGTAAATACTCACCGGGTTCCGATTGTGGATGCTCCCTTTTCAGTTTCCGCCTCTTGGAAGCATTGGAATCCATTTCCTCCTTGAGAATGTTAGTTTTCTCCCGCTCTCTTTCCTTCTCTTTCTCTTTTTCCTCCACCTACCCATGCAAGTCGTAAAATAGAAGCAGCGTTAGAAGCAAATACTTTGGACTTCAATCTAGAAAAAACAGAAGACTTAAAAATCGTTGGGCAGTATACAGAGTAAAATTACACATTCATACAAGCATGACCCCAATCATAAATTTTTTAACAATAGGCAACCACCAAAAGCAAATCGTAATATATTTCTTTCGACGGGTGAGAATGGTGCAGCATCACCACCTAATTTGACAGATATTTCAAATGTTGCACCCATCTCCCAATAGTTTGCATAAATTAAGGGCTGCACAATGTACACTTATGGGTGGAAGTAGAAGCAGATAATCATTAGATCATGGATGAAAGTATGAAGGTGCAGACGGGATTAGTACCCTTATGGTTCTCCCAAATATGTACTTGCACAGTACATATTCAAGCAAGGATTTTATGTGCAATCAAAAACCGAAGAAGAATTAAATTAAAAAGGATTTACAAGAAATCTAGACGTATAAATCACACATACATAAAATTGATGGGAGTTGGAAGAGAACACTATGAGATACCTTAACTGATAACATGTCCCGCTCATCTCTCTTCCTATCTCGAAAATCATCCTCTCTTCTACGTTTTGCATCATCCTGTAATAAAATATTCTCTTCAGATCGTCTCCGCTCTCTCTCATCGTGTCTTGGAGAAAGTCTTTGTGCATGCCTGGCAGTTCCAAATCGTCTATCAGCATCATCCTCCCTCCTACTGGCATTAACTGACTGGGGGATAACGTGAGGGAGTAAAGGTGGAGGTGGAGGCAAGCTTTGCCCATGAAATCTATCAACTACGTGTGATTTTTCCAAAGGTGCTTCATTATGCCGGACTTTACTTCTGTCGTCTTTATTTCTATCATCCTTGCCTAGCCTATCAAAGTTCCTATCAGCACCTTTCTCTTGGACTCTTTCAACAGAACGTTCTCTTCCATGCCTTTCCAATGACCTATCTCTCAATTTTTCAGACAAAATATCATCCCCACGCGACTTTTCAGGACGCTCCAACCGTTCCCTGTAATCTCTGTCGTATCTTTCATTGGTCTTATCTTTAGATCTATCTGCAAGCTTATCTGTGACCCTACTGATGTTCAGTTCATCAGAACCAGGTTTGTCAAAATCTGCTGGATGAAGTTTATCAGTACCCCGTGCATCAATTAACCTCTCCTTTTCAGAAAAACGGACCTCACCCCCATCCATGTCTCTTAAATCAATTTCTCCTTTTCGGCGCTTATTTAACCTATCGAGTTCATCAGCAGGACTAGTTCTCTTTTGTGGTTTATCGCTAGACTTAGCAACAAGATTGTCCTGCCCAGGAGAATGAATAGATCGGGAAGACGACTGTTTATGCACATCCGAAGTTTCAGTTCCATCATCCTTCCCAGTAGAAACCCTTGAATCGGAAGACTTTGAGTTTGCAATCTCTGCTTTTGCTTCAATGTTATGATCTGATGATCTAGCAGATAAGGTTGTTCCTTTTGCTGAAGCTGAAACCGTGCTAGGATTGCCTGCAATTACAGAAGAAATGTTAGCGATCCCAATTTGCCTGCTCTCAAATGGATGAACGAATATATTTTTTATCACCAGAAGATGAGACTGAAGTTCTGCCAACAGCTTTTCCAGATTTACCATCATCTTTGGCAAGATCCTGCTTTGGTTGCTTTGCGAGAGATCCAACTGCTGTCGACCTTTTTACTGCAGATCTCGCCTGCATCAAGAAGCTAATTTGTATAAAGACAACAAACAAAAATAACACTTGAAAGGACATTCAAGATTCTGAAGTATCAAGATGCATCCAGTATATAATATAAAAATAATAATAATTGGAGTCACCAACATACCAGGAATAATATCAATAAATGAAGTAACCAACATACCAGGAGCACCAAATTTAGAAACTAATCAATAATAATTCTGAAAAAGTGACATAAGAGAAATCTTGCGCCGAAATCCTCAGTGGGATTTTTTTTTTTTTGGTTGGGGGGTGCATACGCTTATTGTCATGATCACAATCTGTTATTAGTTTGTAAGTAAGGACACTAGGAAATCCATCTAAAGACAGATACTACATCAAGTTCACAAATAAGCAATGGATGTATAAGATAAGACCCTTATCTGCTGGACAAATGTAAGCAGCAGCAGGACGAAAACAGCAAGGAAAGAAGAGAGAAGTAGCAAGGAAGGAATCACGAAAGAAGCAGCAAGGAAAGAGAACTGAAGCTTTGGGAATGGATTAGGCACCAAATAAATAAAGGGGTAGGGAATTTGTGGATTCTTCAGGAAAAGTGACCTGTGAGAGAGAGAGTAGGCCTCTTGAAAGCCTAGAATTCATTTTTATTGTTCTTCAAATCTAGCTAAATACCCTTTAATAATACAGATTAATAATACAGATTCTTATCAATATATTAGGATTTTGAACAAGTAAATTCAATTTACCAAACAGACTTGTAGTCTCAGACACTGCTGGAGCAGTAGCAAACCCATTAATAAAGTTGAAGCAGGCTGCAATAGGGTTTTTTTAAACCACAGAAGCCACAAGACTATAGAATTTTTGCGATTCTCTCAGGCAAGCATTTCTAACCCTACTCTCTTTTATTTAAATTATTGTTTTGTAATTTTAATCTGATCTACAATTTCATCTTTAAATTTTATTCCATAAATCATCCACTTTCCATAACAAACGCAATGATGCAAAATAATCTTCCATAAATTATTTAAGTCTTCACTGCTGTTGGCTGGAAATCAAATCCACAGATTGTGTTCAATAGCACGGTTAGAGGGTTATAGTGGTAAATGGAGGGATGCTTTGGCGTTTTAACTGTTTAAATTAAAAATTAAGAAAATAAAAACCAACAAACTCCAACTTTTAACTGTTTAAACGACCAAAGGCAAAAACCTCTCTTTCAGACGGCCAAAAAATCCTGTTCAACCATTGTTGTTTCAGCAGTTGTTTTTGTGAAGAATTGTATATTGACTTTAATTGCGCAAGGAAGACGAACTGCACAGTAGTTCACCGCACGAAGAATCCTAAACAAAATATTTGCATTTTTCATCGTAAATCTTTCCTTTAAGTCACAGATCACATTTTAACACCCTTAAGCAAAACAACAATATTGCTGAAAGAGGAACTGACAACTATTATAAGTTGCTAGGGCCATCATATTCATTAATAGAAGAACAGACTAAGCCTCATACCCAACAAATTTGGGGATGACTACATAAATCCGCCTTCCCTATTCCATTCTATGCATTGTTAGATCTACAAGAAGGCTCAAGGCACTTAGCTCCTTGACAACTACCACAGACCAAGTTAAATTTGGTTTGCCCCTCCCTCACGTCACTATTATGAACAGGGCTTATTAGTTATTAGGTCAATACAAGTAATTTTAACATCTTATTTGATAATAGGATGCTAAAAGCTCTTAAAACACCTGCTAACATACTTCTGAAAAAAATTCACCATACTTGATTCACGTCAGTGACTTAAAATACTTGGATGCTTTGCCTTTGCTCATATTCTCCCAGCATTTTTTGATTAACCATTCGATAATTTCCTTACTGCGTAGATTATGCATACTTCTCTGTGTAGATGGATCGGGCTGTAGGCTCAGAGAAAGTTTGCTCGGGGAAGGAATAACATCAAGCTTTCTTTTAAGGCTGAAGAATAAAGGAATTCTTTTCCATGGGCAGTGGGAGGGGAAGTAACTGTGTAACGTTCTTAAAATCATGAATAAGAATTTAACAATTTATTCTCTAATATTTGCACACAAACATTATAAAACACATAATACACCAACTAAATAGAAGGCAAACTTGGAATTGAAGCAGCATTCATCATTTCATTGCGTCAAAAAAAAAAAAGGCACGATGTCACAGGAGGAAAGAGAACAGTTATTTGACAGGCAGAATTTTTGGAGTACGCTAATTTTTAAACTCTTTGTCTATGTTCAAGAGCAGAAGTCAAGCATCAAGCATGCAAACATTGTCCAAACAGCAAACGGTGAGAAATCTTATTTTAAATTCAGTTGTAAACTTGCAATCCTCATTCACAGTCGAATGCAAGAACAGGTTCTTAGCAACATACCTCAGATTCCATTGACATCTTAGCAGTAACTTTTGAGTTTTCTTCCAGTTGTTTATTTGCAGATTCATCCATCTGTTTTAGATTTTCAACTGAGCGAGATATTCCAGATTGTAAGGTAGACGGCACAGAAGATTGAACATCTACTCCATTAACTGAGCCACCTTTTAATTTTAAATGTGAAGGATCAGATTTTAGCAAGTTGCTTTCTGTTCTTTCTATCCTTCCATCAGACCTCATTCTAAGGTCTTTGACCGAACTCCCAGAATCTGAATGTAAGGTTCCTGGTGCAACAGCTCTACTCCCCACAGGCTCAGCTGGAGAAACATTGGTCCCAGGCACATTTTGCACAGCAGCAGCAGTCACAGATAGAGACTTGGAAGCTGAAGCTGGTGCAGGTGCAGGCTTTATCTCAAGATAACCCATGCCAAATTCCTCATCTGTAACCCATGAAGGCTGCCAATACAACATAAAACAGACAATCCTTAGATTGATCTATTCAAGTACACAACTCTATTTCTATAAGAATATAAACAATGCTTATAGACAGAAAACAATTTTAGAACCATTGTGAACAATTTTAGAACCATTCTGGACATTGTTTGCACGCCATCTGTAAATGAACCAATGTCATTCGTAGAAAGTAAAGTGAATCATATCATTAGATCAGCCAATCAAGGCATAAAATAATGCCGGGCATTCACAGCGTGCAACACAGGACTATTTTCTATAGAAGATATCATCCAGAATTACCATCAAGTGGATGTGTTCGTTACATCCATGAAAGCACTTTTTTTCCAAATATAACTGTTTCATGGCCATTGATATTAATAAACGGATAGAATGGGATTCCATTTCATAATTTACCTTTCTAGCTGCCAAAGCTGCAGCAACACCAGTGGCTAAAACCTTTAGATCTTCCCTTTCATCACTTTTGATTTTAGCTACCTATGCAAAGGAAAAACAGAAGGCAATGAGCAATTCCCTAACTCAAAATCAACACACAGAGAATGTCCAATAGAAAAAACATTTCCCATTTTTATAATTTACCCTCTTTTCAAGGTTGATACCACTCTTCCGAGTAACAGGAAAAACCCCTGAGATTTTAGTCAACATTATAAGAGCATTTCGAATCTCCATGTACTCAGTTGATTCCAAACACTGAATCAGCAACCTAGTAATCCTCTGGCTCCACTTCCAGTGTACCTTCAGGCAAACATCTAATTTAGGATAACAAACGAAAAAATACAGATAAAATTTAAACTGGCATTATGATTTCATCTCTCTTGGAAAGGTGGAACATAAATCATCGAGAGAGTCTATAAATTGTCACAGAAAATTTGATAATGCAACCTGTATGAAACTGGTGACCTTGCACTGTTCATTCCCGTTGCCAACAAATGTGTCTTAATTGATTAATCAGAAAAGGAATTCAGCAATGAGAACAACAATCCTGAGGATCATCTAATTTTTGAGTTATTAAAACTCTTCATGAATATTTGTACCAAAAAATAAAATTAATCTATGTATCTTCGTTTTCCACGGTCATCTAGATTTTATCATTGATATAAGCAATAAGGTTGACATACTAGATAAAAGATGTTAAGGGTGGGGTTTGGTAATACTTCAAGCATGCATATTTTGATAGCTTGAACATCCATTTATACACCAATGTGCTTGTAAAGTAGCAAGTATGAGATGCATAAATTGTTTTACAAATAGAAACAAGTTTTGACTTTGCTTCCATTAACTAAGTTTTTCTCAAGTTCAACAGCTCCCGTACCGGTGGGCTATAAAAATTTGAGCTAATATGACAGAAGATCCTTTAGATGGTAATGATGGCCACTTTGTGCAGCTCAATAAAAGATTTTTTATAATTAACATTTTTACATGGTTTTACAGCTCACTTTGCAATGTATGTACAGCTGTGTCTCTTACAATTGTTTGTCTTCTTGTAGAACACTTTAATATCACGAAAGAGATCAGCTTGATTGGTATTAAATAATAAGCTTTAGAAGTTCAGAAACCTAGGTTATTACGTAAGTCTAAATAATGAGACTCATACGTACATAATTATTTCTTCATTTGGTTTCTCCTTTCTTTTTTTTTTTTTTTTTTTTTTTTGAAGAAATAGATTTGTTCTCCTCCCATTTTGGGTGCCCGAACATAAAATCTTATTTGCAAAACATTAATTCGAGTTTCTTATACAGGGTATGTTAGTTCCCTCTCTCCTTCTACCCTTCGGCGTGTATGGTACTTTTCAAGAACTGAATCACAACAGGGTATACCAAGGCCCAGTATTACTGCATTGTCAAACACAATGGTAAAAGACATACATCAACTATTTCTTAACCGTTTAGCTGCAAAATTTGAACAACCTCAAATCAAATTGAAGTAGAACAATATTGAACAAAAACAAGATTGAAAAAATCCTATCTAAATTCTATATTTATTCTTATCTTCATCCCCATCACAAATGCATCTTCATACTTCAATTGTCATCCTTACAAAATAACTAATAACGAACATTTTCCTTACAAAATTTAACTCACAAGACTACCATTTTGTTTTAGATTTAGGCATGTCAAAGTTTGCTTTCTTATCTTTTTCTTTTTCTTTTCAAGGAGTGAGCCCTGTTTAGGTTTATCCAAACATTTTTTTCCTAATGCCTAACATGATCAATTATGGTAAGTGTGTCTTTCTTTTTACAATACTAGCTATGTAGTTGTAGATTCCAAACAGAAGCTCATTCGTAAGTTATTGCAAATATATTCCGAGTAAATGCATATGATTGAAAGAATTAATAAGTTACATTGTCATGACTAACAATACTGAGGAATTAAAATTCAATCAACTGACCTTGATAAATTGACCATATGTAACACGCTGGCTGTTCGGATATCTATAATAGACAGCAAATCCCGGCATGTTTCCACACTCGCGTTCGTATACAGATTCATCACTCTACAAAACGAAGCACTTTTCAGATCAGAAGTAAGCACAAAAGCAGACAACATTTAGAATATGTGAAATTCATCGCTTTAATTTACAGAACAGCATGGATGGAGCACAGTTCTAACTGGATGAAGACTAATAGAAAGCAACACATACAGGATTTTCTACCTTCCAATGGTAAGCAGTTTTTAGTGTCTCATATAGAAACCTCCCCAGTCGACCCACTTCATACTCAGTGCAGCAGCAGATCATAGGTTGTAAGGTTTTACATATCAAAACATCTATGTGGTTCACTGTGTTGAAAAATGGCGTCCCCAAGGAATGGAGTGTATTGACAAAAATGGCACAATATACAGCATCCGGCATACTGAATGTACAGCGTGGAAATACACAGCGCTGAAGAAACTCCATGTTTATTTTCAAAGTATCTGGGCATGAACTCAACCATGTATCCTTCTCAAGAGTAAGCCGTCGTCGCACAGATTCAACGTGTTCTTCATGCTTCTGGAGTTCCATAGTCAATCGGTCAAGAGACTCTTGAATTCTTTCTTTATCTTTCTTTCTTTTAGCGATTGCAGAACTGGAATTATCAGAAAGTTCTTCCAGAGCTTTAAGAGCAGAATGCTGCTTTGCAATTTCAGACTCATAACGAGTTCTTGGTACATAGAGATCATATAAAGTAAGACCCCAGAAGGTAGCATACAGATCAGGAGACAGGCTATTCCAGGCTTTTGAAGGCAACATTGTTTTGATAGTGTCAAGAAGATCAAGCCAACTGCATTATATGTAAATTGTTAAGCATTAAAGAAAGCAGCCAGTGAGAAGTTGCAACAGACAGAAAATGTACCCAAAAATTTTATATATATACATATATATAAATTGACAAACACTTGACTTCCTATCAAAAGAATGACACTGTGCATACATCAACTAGAAGATTGTATTTACAACCAAACTAGCAACAAAAATATCATAGATAGAGGGAAAAACAAAATATTACAATATAGGCTTGCGAGAAGATCCAAGGTCCAGAATCAATGTAGATGCATCTGCAGTTTCGGAATCCTTTTCAGAAGTCGTAGGATGCAGTTCTTCATTACCATCTAAAGGCCAGAAAGCACAGGAGGCTTTTTGACACCTGAAGAGTCTCATTACTGGCCTATAAATTAAAAAGGCAACCTGAACAAGAGAACATCCAGAACATTATCTAGTAAGTACTGAAGCCATATAGTTGGAAGTTGCCAAACCCTTTAACACATTATTATGCTAGAAGTAATTACCGACAGAGTGACAGTTATGATATCATATGATGGAAGAATAACATGAAAATAATTCCCTGATTTGTGTGTCTGTGTAGTTGCGTATAATCTAGGAATTAAATCTCTGTGACTGTATATTTGTATGAAATCAGGAAACTAATTCCCTGATTGATGGGCTTGTTTAGTTGAATATTTTCCTGTATTAGAATTGTACATTATATATTATGTAACTTTTTTAAAAACCAATGAAATAAATTCATTCCATGGTACTTATTAGCCAAATAAGTAACTGAAGGAAAAAAAGCTTCAAAGAGCCAATAAGAGAGATTCAGATACCTCGGGATCAAGAAGATATTGATGTACAAGTTCATCAAGAGTAGGAATCAGCAACGCATAATTTGATACTGGAGTGACTGCACTACAAAGAAATTCCACATACTGAAGAAGGGTTCCATGGCATCTATCGAACTGTTCACTGACCATTTTAATATGAGGCACGTCGGCCTTTATGACAACTCTGTAGATTAAAAATAGTTAAAATACTTGACATTGAATTCACTTCTCTGATACCATAATTATTATTCAAAACTCAAACCTTGCAGCATGACCTTGGATTGCAACATATGAAAAATTTGAAATAAAAATGAAAACTTCACCTACAACATCCCCACCACCCACCCGCTCTCTCTCCCACCCTCTCTAACACACACCACAAGGAAAAATAACTTGTGGAATGGGAAAAGAAAACCAGGAAAGTCTGGATGGATGTATGGATGATGGATGGATGAAGTCTGAATTATGATAATACCAAATCCTCATATACACTAATGATAATTTAAGTAATATATTTGCTATCAATTAAGAATGCAGAACTTACAAAGAACGGTGCTGGGCAATGAGAAGCAAAAGAGGAATTGCCAATTTGGGTTCTTCTTTTGGGAGCAAAGAATCCCTAAGTCTGTTAGTGGATTTGATCAAAGCCTGCAGGAAGGAAAAAGTTGAATTTCAAACTTTAAAGATTCCCACAGATTTACAGTTTATAATTTCCAGGTGAAAAAATAAGGTCTTCAACAAGCTATTTCACAAGCAAGCCGGACTCATATTCAGTCTAGGACTAACACATGCACAATTGTCATAAATGGGTGCTAACTAGACTTTGATTCCATGTCAGCAACAATATTAGTTCTCCTCATTTAAATGGGGGGAAAAGTTTCGTAATTTAAATTTTGCTTGTCGCAAGTTGTTTGATGAGTAGATAGTTGTATATCTAGTTACATGCAAATAAATGTTCACTGCAAAGAGAGAGAAAAAAAGTGATAACAAATGTGAATAACTAATGTTAATTTTTTCTAGAAATAGAATACGTTATGCAATAAAAGAAATCATAAATTCTAGGGAATGAAACTTAAGAAAAGGCTATGATTTGCATTCAACTTGCAAAAAAGTTAGAATCAGGTCAAATGAGAGAAAAATTTGAAGTTCCAAAATTAATGTGTTAATCAGACAGACAGTCATGTACACTGGACAGTTCAGTATTTCAAAAAGGCGGTTCTTTACTTTTAAAATTGATCAAAACATGTCCTAATCTTGTTAATCTAGTTTTTGTACACAATCACATATTTATCGACGGGAACTAACTCCATAGAAGAGTGCAAGGGAGATGAAAAGACATCCAAATCACAGCCTGAGAACTCAAGATGCCACTGCTGCATTAATCATGAGGGGAGTTTAAACAAGGGAACAGCATAGAAAAAAATTTATTCTTTTCTTTTTCCCAGGGGAAGGGGAGAAAATAGGTTTTTGTTGTACGTGGAATGCATATTTTATAGCATCCTCAAACCAATGACCATTACTTAAGCTAGGGAAATGGAAAAAGAATGAATAGATCTATTCCAAAGACGTTCTCAGAGTTTTCTTGTACTGTCAAAAATAACATTTACTGATTCTAGTTATTAACAACTAAGGCACCTTGTTGTTCCTGGTAATTCCAAATGAGGTAGCTTGATAACGTAGAGTGTCACTTCCAGCCATGGCATCCAATTGGTCCTCAGTCATATTCTCTGTATATTGAACATTAGCCATCTGCTGTATAAGTTCCTACACGACATTTGCAAAATTCAAAATCGATGAGAAAATGGAAATTATGATAAAAGTCAAAGTAACAAATAACAAACTTAGGGTCAAACAACCTGCAGGAGAACAAGCTCAATCCCATATCCTTTCTTCAACTGATTTACAAGATACTGGAAAAGACCCCTGAGTTCCATTGATGGGTATTTTTTACACCTACAAACATAACCAAGTCTTCAACAGAATGATATGTCATAAATATTAAAGAATAATCAACTAACTGTATAAAGGAATGCAATAAGGACATCAGGATTTTTAAGATCTGCCATGAATTCTAAGATAAACTTTCAAGTTACAACTAACAACTATCCAAAACGTAATCATCAATATATTACATGGTGTCATTGTCGAACATTAACACTGAGTATTCATACGCTCCATCAGTGTAAAAGATAGTGATGAACCTCTCAGTAAGTAATATTTGCTGATAATGATCTTGGCATTTTTCTAATTAGCCCTAATACAAAGTCACAGAACATCAAAACTTTATGGACTATTCTAGTGCTCTGTTTAGAAAGAATTTATAAATGGTTTTTAAATCCCTTTCATTTCTAGAAAGCTAGGATTTGAACTGACAACGTCAGTTGCCCCAGCTAACTATGGGACTTCTCTAAGTGGATAATAACTTGTGGGTCCATCAAAATGTTTGAAAATGAAGTTTAACCATTTATAAATTGATTCATAAAGTTTGCCAAACGGAATAAGTTTTCTACATCATACAAGAACATTACTTTATTCAACAAAGTATCTGTATAAATTCATTTGGAGAAATCAAATTGAACAGAAGAAAGCATATAGCTCCACTGGGGATATATTTGTCTTATTATAGTAACACCTCATTGGATAACCAGTACTTCAACTGAACCAACGCATATCTCATGTACAACCAAATTTTGAAAAAAGGAAAGCCATGGGACGTTTGTAATGGGGAACCTGATTGGTTGTGTTAGATCCATATTTTCAATTCAATCCTATTTCTGAGACCTTCTGCTTTGCTCCTCACTATGACATCCAAATCAAACTGTATTCTTGTAACATGATATAATAGATGTATACTGTTATTTCTCAGCATTTTTTATAAGTATATACTAACATAAGTAATATTTCAGTTACCACTAACTGCACATTATTCTGAAAAGATGGTCATTCTTTTCCATGTGTAGCACTATATTTACTTTCTCGCTGTTACTAAGATTAATTAATCATATACAATTAACTCCATCTTTGTTCTCTTACTCAATTTCAATGAATTTTCTATGTAATGAGTTCTGCCATTCCCTTAGACAACACACCAGTAACTACTCAGAAATGTAAAGTGACTTTTGAGCTTAAAAATAGAAACACAAACGTAAAATATATAGAGTACATACATAAAAATCAACAGAATACTGACTAGAGCTGATTAACCTGAAGCTCTAAAAAATATTCACATCAAAAGTGAATGGAACAGAAACATAGAACACAAAGAGCCCAATAAATCCTATACAGCAGCAAGTAGAATAAAACAAAAAATTAACTTAATTATAACTTCCACACCTTTTTTAAACACAGAAATTTACTTTATTATTCATGAGATTATCAATGTTCAAATTTACATGAATTTTTGTGCCTGTCCATCAATTACCTAAATATAAAACTTGAAAATTTATTACAGAGAAAATAAATTGATGCAAGATAGGCAAAAATATGCATCTAAAAGCACTTCATGCACATGAATAATATCTTAATGGCTGTTCCTAGACTTTACGATTTATGTTTTTTTCCTTTTAAAGAATCACACACATTATACTGGCACTAATACTACCAAAACAAATCCCAGAATGAAATCAACTACCATTCAGTCTGTTCTATTTCTTTTTATTGTTTTCTATTCATGATGCGCTTATTCAACACCTGTGCATGGATTCTATAATTTTAAAGCAATAAAAAAAACTAATTTTTTTAGGTTAAATCCATCAATGGCCACCCAACTTTATACTTAGTATCTCCATGACCACCCAATTTGATTTTGTTTTACCATGGCCACCAAACTTTATATTTAGTGTCACAATGGCCACCCACTTTGATTTTATTCACCATAGCCACCTGATTTCATATAACATTTCATCATGGCCCAATTTCATATACATTTCACCATAGCTACCCCAACTTCTTTTCACCATTTTCACTAATTTTAAAAGGGTTAAATTGTAACTTTGCATTTTATATAAAATAATTAAAAAACAAAAAATAAAATAAAAAATATTTTTAAGAAATAAATATAATAAAAACTTCTTTAAAAACGTTACTGAAAAATAAAATAAAACAAAATAAAAATTTATTTAACACTATTTTTAAAATAAAATAAAATTTATTTTTTTTTTAAAAAAAAAAAGTAACTTAAAAAAATAAAATAAAAAGTTACTATAAAAAAAGGTTCCTTAAAAAGATAACATAAAATAAAAATGTTTTTAAAATAAAATACAATAAAAACTTTTTTTTTAAATTTATTTTATATATATAATGCAAGGTTATCGTTTCTCCTTTTCAAAATTAGTGAAAAACGTTAAAAGAAGTTGTGTCGCCATAGTGAAATGTTATATGAAATTTGGTGACGATGGTAAAATAAAATCAAATTGAGTGACCATGGTGACACTAAGTATAAAGTAGGGTGCCCATGGTCGCAGAAGTATAAGTAGAGTGGCCATGGTGAAATAAAATCAAATTGGATTGCTATGATGACACTAAGTATAAAGTTGGCTGGCATTGATGGATTTAACTCAATTTTTCTCATGCCTTAATGAAAGACCTCATGGTTATGTTTGAGCTGATATGGCAAACTGGAGCATGCGTTGATAGATAAGGCTTGCAAAAAAAATCTCCCAAAATCCAAGTATCAATTCCAGAGGAAACAACAGAACTGTTCACGTTCTCCCAATAACTTGCATCAAGACAAGTCTTGCCAACAAAACTTCAGTGTAGTGCTCAGTCACAGCATTGCATACTGATAAACCTCTTCTCACAGTAATAATATCAACATTGCCACCCTGAGAAAACTGTGTATCAAATTGTTTTTGGCCATCCTTAATAAAATATGAATTTTTTATCAAGTACAAGGCCTTACTCGAGACTATCAATGACGTTCATGATGGAGTCAAGAGGCCAACACAACATACACAACTGCAAAATCTGAATCCCAATAGGTGAGGAAATAAGCAAGACGGAGTCTTAAGACAGATCCAAAAAAGTAACACTACTGACAAATGATATAGTATCCTGAGAGAAATCTGAATATAAAATTGTTCCCAATCGCTTAATGATGCATCTTTCATTCAAGCGCAAGTCTTCCTTGAGATGTCAATGGCCTTCTTGATGTAGTCAAGAGTCCAACTTAAAAGTAAACTTTCGTGCTAAGTCACAATACCATATTGTTCAGTGCGGACCAAGTCATAAGGGAGACTCGAAAATAGAACGCTGTTGACAAATTACATAGTATCCCCAAAAAGACTGCATCATTGTTCAAGCCAACTCTTCCTTGAGATTTACCCCACAGTCCCAATACATTCCATACAGAAACAAGCAACACGAAGTCTTAATGAAGCTTCAAAAAGAGAATCATTATTGACCAATTACATACACAGCAGAGCTGATCTTCAGCTCAAGCTTCGTTTCATTGAGTAGCAAATATGAGGACAAAAGAAAATCCAAACCATAAGCAATGCAACAGATGGCCATCAATATTTACAACATCCAAATAGCAAAATACCTTTTCCACAATACCCAAATGTAATACCTCCAACAAATTAGGCTTTCTTCGTCTCATCAACTTAAGCATGTTTGTAACATGAAGGGGTATTTTTTTTTTGAGACTCCTATAGCACCTTAAAGACCAGAGACAGATCCAGCACAGTAATCTATTTTTCTCCACCTAAGATGTCATGAAATTTCATCATGTCATGAGCTAACTGCTAGTGGTATCTTCTCATGTTAAAGCAATATTAAATTTCCAATCAAAGATGTAGCCGTCAATCTCTACAGAAATATGAATAAATGGACTTGAGAGACCCTTCCAATATCCGAATATGCTAGTATCTCAATATCCTTAAACTAAGAGATCTTGCTCTTCAAACAGAAAAAAGGAATTCAAAGGGTAAGAAGTATGTAATGGAGTCACCCTGCGCCATCTGAATGGCTTCTCTATCACCAAACAACATGAGCATTCTCCAATCTAACACTGATCTGAATTTTTCTACCCAATATACAAGAGAATATAAGAAGGCTGTACAGAAGATCCGATCAAAAAGCCAATAACCAAAATGTGCAAGGTCCACTACACCACCAGCTCCAGTCACCAGCTTCATCAGAGATTAATCTGCAACCTGGCAAATTGGGTAAAGCGTCCCATGGAGATCTAGATTTTTTATAGGATGGATTGATTTAAAATAAATTTAGACTATATTCTGTAATGTATTCACTACTTGAAAGACCAGAATTTTCTGTATATAGACACTAAATAAAGCACAAACAACTACCCAGTCCCATTGAGAAACAAGTAATGTAAGAGTAAAAGATAAAAATGAAAAGAAAAAATATATAAAGTAAAGAATTTGAAGTCTAGGCCACTTATATGGCAAGTGAAAAAGCTGACAGCATCTAAAGTAATTCTGTGTCACCCATTATTGTTATTCATTTTAAGTAATTCTGCATTTCACCTATGTATTGGCAAGGAAGCATTAAAAAACAAAGCACGAGCTGTATGTCGCAGTAACATCTGAACATAGAAAGCAAATCCAGAATAGTATAAAGGTGAAAAGGCTACATACAAGTGTCCCCAAAATGATGCCAAAGATTGAAGCCAATCTGACAAATTAAGGCCATCATCTTTTAGCTTCTCGCGTCCTCCTTGAGCCAAGCGTTCAATCACGACATACTCCAGAATATCATACTCAAGCTGTTGAATGCAAGAATTTTACAAGTGTAAAAAACCAAACAATTTAAAAAGGTCCAAAGAAATCATTTACCAAACAACATGAAATGCTGAACAGTAAATAAATCGTATTAAAATGAAAAACCTGGTAGAGGAAGTCAGTAAATGTAGAACTTGCATGTTTATGGTAACTAAAGTTGGGATAATGTTTGCAATAGGCATTTGTTAGAAATGAAGATGCAAAATACACAATAATAGAGAAGGACATTAGATCCATATTGAGACTTATTTCTTACACAATTCATAAGTTACTTCACAGTGAATTATAGTAAGAGGGTGTTTAGTAGGGATTAAAATTAGATTTTTTAGTAGATTGTAATAGAAGTTTTTGAAATGAGTTTTTTTCGTTTTTTCTTTTCTGCAACTTGTAGGACCTTTCCAGGAGAACCATCAACGAGCAGAAGAGGTTAAAACAGTCAGGAAATATAAAGTTGCAAAATTCCTAGAAGAGTGTGTGTGCGACAAATCAAACTGCATATTTTTTCTTAGTATTCTTCTTCCTTATTCAGTGAACTCTTTCATACTTGAGGACACCCATAACTTCATTTACAACAAGGCGAATCTCTTATGTTTGTGTGTGCCTGTATACATAAGCAGACGCAAACCAAAGGCATAACTAATGGATAGGGGTTATTTCAGCAAAATTAATGTTTTTCTGAATAAACAAATTTCACCAAAAGCATTACCCCAAAAAAAATATAAAAAATATAAAAAATTGATATCCTACTCCCCTACATAACATCTTATATAAGGCAAAAACCTTTATCTATATTAAGCCCCCCGTTTGGCCCCCATTTTGTGGAAATGAAAATGGGTGGAATAGTGTTTTTTTTTTTTTTAAATGAGTGGTTGAAAAGGAAGGAAAAGTTTTCGGTTAACATGTAATATTACTTTATGGAAGATTATATGCTTGAAAATAGGAGAGAGAAAAATGAAATGAAATGGAATGGAAATTAATACGGGCTAAACGGGGGCTAAGTTGCTAATACAGAGAAGCAAGTATGCAAAGGAGAGACAAGATAACAGCAGAAAATAAAAACTAAGATACACCTGAGTCAGATACTTGAATGCATCCACCACAGGAGTGATCATATCCCTGTATGCCTCTATCTGCGTGTATAGTTCAAATCCATCATTTAGCAAAAAGTCTAGCATCAAATGGACAATGCGACATTCAAACTAAACAAATTACCTGATGAACAATTGTCCGGAGCACTGTCATTGGATTGGCATGAGCTAATTTAGCAACCATTCGTCCAAGCTGCTTCAAATTTTCTTTTGCGAGGCGCTTTAGAATCCTCCTGGTGTCCAACTGCAAAACAACAGATATAAATTGCATGATATATGATTAATGATACAGTCCTAAAACAATAAATTGGTACCTTTGCCGTTTGTCTTGCAGCCAAAATCATTGGAAAACGGTCATCATCCTTCTCCCATTCACCGTACAAACGATAGCGCACCTAATGAAGCAACTTATGAGACCACAACTCAGCTTAACCTAACTGATTCTCAATTACAAAGAATACAAGTGGTTGAAATTCAACCTCATAGGGTAGAAGACTCATTAGTTCCCAGATCTCCTGTCCAACAGCAGGATTTGCAGGTATCAACTGTAATGAAGGAAGAAGACATGTTCCAAGTGCTTCCTCAATTCTTAACCTTGCATCCTTCAGGTGGAGGCGTGGATTTTCGTTTCCATTAGCAAAAGTATGAGAACTAAATGCCACATAACCATTATTGACAAGCTCGAGTGCACAAAGGTAATAAGCTCTCAACACTTTGGATGCCTGTGAGGCAAGGTAAAAAATTAAAATTAATGAGAAGTACAAGAAAGTGACTAATAAGATGTACCAAACTAGAACACAGACCTTCTGCAGCAACAAAGTGTCGCGATAAAGATAAGGTCCAGCAGAAGCAAGCATTTCAAAAAGCTCTTTAGGAAGATTGATAAAAGATCTACTGTGGGATGAATTCCCTGTCTCCATCAAGTCAGTGCCAGATCCAGGCAATACATCAATATTTGAAAATTGGTTTTGACGAACAAGTTCACAAGCCGGAGAAATTGACTTTTCAATGAGCCTAAACATTCATCACAAAAGTATCAGATAATGAACTTAAAAGCAGAAAAGAAGCTAAGAAAGAGAGGGCTAAATAGCAAACCAGAGAAAAATAAATAAATGTACATGCAATATGTCATCGGCAGATTAATGTGACCTTGCTATCAAGATATTATAACATTTACCTAAACAAACCGTTGCAAATTTGAATATGTTCCACTGGATTCAGTGTTGAAAGGCGGTCCAACAACTGACGAGCATGACACCTGTGAAATCAAATCAAACTGATAGGTCAACGCAATATCAAACTAATTAAATGGAAAAAATTTTAACCTAAAATTAGTAATTATGTAACATATCAAAATAAACTATGCTACATTCTATTTATATGCCAGTAAAGTGTTCATATATATATATATATATATTTTTTTTTTTTTTTTTTTTTTTTTAAAAACTTC